TTTTATTTTGATACTTAAGTCGGTGATGGGTTTCCGTGAGCCCGGCGGTGGGGCTTGTCACGGGCATAAAAGGCGTGCTGAGTGGATCAGGCGGTCAGATGGATCGGTATCCACAGCTGTGAGTTGCTCTCATGCAGAATTGTCACATACAGAACGACAGAAATCTGTTGCTTTTGTAGGGGAACTGGTTTCCAGCAAGAATCTCGAGCTGGAATAACCAGTAAAACATTAAAACACTAAAGTTATATAACGTATGCCCTGATACACCACATCTTCTGTAATGACAGAGATGGCTTGTTTCTTTTGGACTCGGATACGCTCTGCCAAGGCCAAGCGCAAGGTCCGACACGTGGGCTGGGACAATCCCAATCCCAAATGCAGCCTGGCTGGAGGATGTATTGGGAGCAGTCCTGAGGAGAAGAACTTGGGGGCGTTGGCTGATGAGAAACTCAACATGAACCGGCAATGTGCACCTGCCACCCAGAAAGCCACCCACATCCTGGGCTGCATCCCCAGCGGCGTGGCCAGCAGGCGAGGGAGGGGATTCTGCCCCTCTACTGTGCTCTCATGAGACCCCACCTGGACTACTGCGTCCAGCTCTGGAGCTCCCAACGTAAGAAGGACATGGACCTGTTGAAACGGGTCCAGAGGAGGCTATGAAGATTATCAGAGGGCTGGAGCACCTCTGCTGGGAGGACAGGCTGAGAGAGTTAGCTGAGAGTTCAGCCTGGAGAAGAGAAGGCTCCGGGGAGACCTCAGAGCCCCTTCCAGTGCCTAAAGGGGCTACAGGAGAGCTGGGGAGGGACTCTGCATCAGGGAGTGGAGCAATAGGATGAGGGGTAACAGTTTTAAACTGAAAGAGGGGCGATTTAGATTAGATACTGGGAAGAAATTGTTTCCTGTGAGGGTGGTGAGCCCCTGGCCCTGGTTGCCCAGAGAAGCTGTGGCTGCCCCATCCCCGAAGGTGTTCAAGGCCGGGGACGAGGAGCTTGGACGGGGCTTGGAGCAACCTGGGCTGGTGGGAAGTGTCCCTGCCCAGGGCAGGGGGGTTGGAACTAGGTGAGCCTTAAGGTCCCTTCCAACCCAAACCATTCTATGATTCTTTCCATTGCTGGTCTCCCTGCTTGAGGTTACTTTTATAAACTACCTGAACGGGAAGGTAACACAGCCAGTAGGTAATGAGAGGTGGGATCAGGGTTGCACCGAAGAGGAGGCTCAGAGCGAGGTACAGGGCCTGCCCGTGAGCCCGGTGTGCGGGGTATGGCTGTGGGACGCTCCAGGAGGTAGACAGGCTGAGGATGGCCCAAGAGGTCAGTCTACAGTCTCATTTTCACAGCAGCATATGGCTAGAGGTGAATAAATTATGTCTGTAAATAACTGAATTCACTTCTCTTTGGCATGCAAGCAAGGCTGCACTTCAGAAGAGTCCTGTTCGCTGATGCTGTTATAGATTTAATCTAGCAAAAGTTGAACTTCAGGCTTCTGATTTAAAAAAACCCCAAGAGGTGAGGTAGAAGAGGCACAAACACAGCCAGCAGCAATTAGCAAAATAATGGGATGTTACAAAATCTGTGTTCAGTGCATGTTAGCATCAAGTCTTTTCCAGAGGTACGTGCTTCCAGGAGGTGTTTTGGCTGCACAAGGAGAGGACTGGAGGACTGCAATCTGTAATTTTTTTCACACCAGTTACTTGTTGGAATTGGTTGAGGGTTCCCAAGAGACTTTTCAGGCAGCTGGTCTAGGTGGGGCTGGGGGCCGCTGGGGTCCTGAAGGAACTGCAGGAAACTGGGTTTGTACTGGCTGCCTGAAGCATGGAAAACACATTTGGTGAAGTATTTAATGACTTGAGACAACTGGTTCTTTACCATTTTTAAACAGTTGCTAGCATTTATACACATATTTAACTCTCTGCTCCTCCCTCTCCCTAGCAGCATTTACATGTCCCGTTATGCTGTTTTCTATACAAGCAGTAAAACAGCATTTCTCTTCCAAGCATGTAATCTATTTTATCTGATATGATGCTGCATGAAAAGTCCTCCTAAGCAGGACACGAGACATTAGGAACTTCACTTAAAATGATACAGCAATGTAAACCTAGCAAACGTGATGCAAAGGTTTTAAATACTACAAACCTTGGACCAGGGGAATGCGATACAGTAAAAAAATCAGGACTTGATGTGGCCAGCTGGAAAAGATGACACAGAAAATCGAGTTAACAGAAAACACAGATTTCAAAGTGTGGCTAATTATCCAGTATTAAGCTAGTGGTATTTTAGAACTAATTTTAATTTCCTGTGACATTCTTCATACTCTCTTGCAACATTTTATTTTGATAACTTTTATTTTGTTTTATCAGAACTAGATCCATAGCCAGGCTAAGCAGCTTCTCTGGTATTTGGCTGCAGAATTCAGAGTGCAATCTTTGGGTGCTCTGCTAAGTAGCAGCCTCTTCCATCCCGTGTTACTCACAGCCTGTGTTGACAGGGCAGGCAATAAGGCTCGTACTTACACAAACAGAAATCCTGTCTAACATGTTATAAATTATTTAAAATACTAGGAAATTCAGATGGTTTCACTGTGTCAAAATGCCACAACGTCATCAGTAACTACATTAGTGAAAAGGCACTGTGTAGTTTGGATTACTCAACATGAAATAATGCAAGTATGCATCTATCTTACCTGATTATTTCTTGTGTTATGATTCGGGCTGTTATTTTGCTTTGGTTGCTGCACATTTTTATCCCTGAAATAAAAATCAGGTCATCAGGCAAATCCCCATGAGGTTTATCTACCTTCAGGGATGTGGTGTTTTCCAGGGGATGAGGCTACAGCTCAGAGATCCGGATTTGGTTTCTGACTCCCCCCTCTTTCTGGCCTTGGCAAATCATTTCAATGTGCTATGCCCCTGTGTCCATGCAATACAATTGTCAATAACAATGAGGGAAGTGCAGTGTATTTGGGGAAAAATGCTTGAGAACTGACAACTGGAGTATCTGGATTAAAATGCCTAATAGCACGGTACCAGCTACTAAACTACCTACTACTACTGTTAGCAGGGAAGTCTTTTTCTTTTGGGAGGTATGGAATTCTTTGTATAGATAAAGCTGGCTATAAAACTGTTTAAAACTGGCTTGCTACATTAATCTGGAGCATGCTTTCAAGTGTTGAAAAACGCATTTGTAGTAAGTGAAATACCTGTGTTGTCTTCTGCTTTTCCTGCAAAATTTTCTTTTTATTGCATCACGCTTAATTACTGCTAATACAGTAACGATTACTATTGGCAACACGAGGAGGAAAAAAATAAGCAGACCATCGCGAAGTGATGTATCTAGAGAAAAAGAATTGAAATCATGTAAGACAGCAATCTTGTTTAACCTCATATTAAAGCAGTTTTTCTGCTTAAAGCACCTTTCTGTTGTAAAAACTACAATCTTCAAATTATTATAGCTTAAAACTAGTAACTCCACTGAAATTTATAAACTGCTATGATCAGAAAAGTAGGATTTGGCCTTATGTTATCCTAAGCTCTTTCTGCCTTATCTACCCCATACATGTATTTTTTCAAGAATTCTAAAGCAGAGAAATTAATTTTGTATTTGTTTACCCACAATTTCTCTGTACATCTTCTTTGCCTTCCTAAGCTATTAATAAATAAAAGACATTTTTTCTCTTTCTCAAAATAGAAATACAGTAAAATTTGATAAAATGTGATATTTATTTTTTTTTGCCTCACAAAGCGACAGATGATGAACTTTGCTTGTAAACAGAGAGAGGGAAAACATTTTGCATGGTCTCGCAGTGTGAAGGACAGCAAAATCTACTCTGTTTTCCCTTTGCAGAATTTCATGGCTCTTATGTGAGCCAACTGCTGCTTGCTGCGTGCATCTCCTTCACCCCTCTCACTTCTGTGAGACTCCTTCCATATGTAAAGGCTGCTGGTTTCATACTCAAGCTATAGTCTCCCTCTATGACATCCACATCAGAACTCTGTTTTAAGTACCTCAGTAAATATCTAATTATCTAACTATTTTAAAATGGAACAGTAATTTATGTATTGCTTTTAATTTCAGTAATTTAATGTATTGCTTTTTATCTCAGACAAAACAGAGGTCAAATTCTCCCTTGGACCAACTTCCTTGCTGCCTGCAAACTTACACATCAGATAAAAATGTTTGTTCTTCAAGTCAGTCCATGACTAAGTGTTCCATGCAGTAGAAAAAAACAGTTGAAAAGAGTCTAAAAAACCCCAGTGTTATTAGTAGATGATTTTATCAGACACTGGAGGCAAAACGAAGGCCAGTTTCATTGTCCTACCTATGTGAGATGGACCACTGTCCACACTGCCGCCGTAGCCTGACTGGTTACAGAACGGGGGCGCCCATCCAGAATTGCAGTGGCAGTTCCCGTTGTTGTTACACACCTACAGTCGATACAACAGGGATTAGTCAAACGAACAACGCCTTTCTGGAAGTAGCCGCTTTCAACCTCCAGTATATATTTGGATTACACAGTAAGAATTGCATATGGAAACAAGAAGTATTGCATATTGTTGCATAGAAATACATGAAGTTTTAATCGGGAGTAAGCTCTCCCCCTCCGTAACAACCCAAAACACTGTGTGATGCTGATACCAGAAGTTCATCCTCAATAGAAGTTAACCTTTGTTTTGTTATTTGCCTGCAATAGATTACAGTCCAAAGAACATCTCAGTTTTACAGCCCATGGACTCCATTTTGACTTTTCATAGAGAAATATATAAATAAGGAATCACTAGACTGGCTTCCTTAGGGGAATATTTTCCTTTTACAACTTGACAGCTCAGTAACATTAGAAAATTCCCTAGGGAAATTCAGAAGAAATGTCTTTCAATGTTAGTGCTGAGAAGTTTACAGTATACTGGTAACATGAATTACAGATAAAAAAGTGGACTTTTTAAATACAGATCAGAAAAAGACAAAGCCATCTGGCTGGTTATTGCTTTTATGTAGGGATTTCGCACATATCTCTGTCTTCCAGAAACAGTGCATGAAAACACTATGTACTCACCCCGTTATCATTACACTTCTGCTTTACATCACAGCTGTAGCCCAGATGACTTGCATCAACACATTCAAAATTGACACAGGCCTGGAAAAAGTCATTAGTGTCTTTCAAATGCAAAACTTAAAATAATCCCATCCTTTTATAAATATACTATATAAATGCATACATTTACAGGTCTACAGCTTTTACTTAAATGAGAAGAAAAAGGGCTGATAGAACATTCAGTACTTCACAGTTTTATAGCTGTATTTGTTTCAGATTTTCTTAAGTCTGTGGATGTATTTCGATGGAGTAATTTGAATAACTGATAATGTAGTTCACTGATTTGTAGTGTCCCAGTTTTTGAAGAGCTAACTAATTGTTTATATGTATGTATCTGAAAAAGCAGATTTTTTATTATATTATGGCATACAAATAAGAGAACTATGTAATGCTTTTGAAAGTTAAGAACTTTCCAGTTGGTGGAATATATTCTGTAATTAATGCTGCTGTGATTCATCTTACCTTCTTTTCTCCACAGGCTGTTCCATCGTGAACTTGAGCAGGATCAGGGACATCTGATCCTAAGTCAAAGTCAGAAGACCAGCATAACACCCCAGATGCGTTATTGACAACACTCCACGCAGGAAGATTTTGAAGACTAACAGATGTGCACTGGAGCTTGCCGCACAAACTATGCCTGTATTGAATGAATGACACTCAGAGACAAGGTGAATAGAAAAAAAAAACAGGATCAGCGCAAATACGCCATCCAGTCAAACTTTTTAGCTTGCATTTCAAGGAAATATTCTTTTAAATCTCATGCTCTGAGAGTTTGTAAGAGAATATATTTTTTATATTGAAGATTTTAGGGTTAGCTTTTATTTATTGGTGACTTACTGAACAGAACATTTCTTGTACACTCCACCTCTCATTCCACAGTTTCCAAACCTATCTCCTTTAATATTTGCTTTTTCAAAGCATACATCAGGTGCTTTTCGTGCCCCTGTATGAAAAACAGTGAATCTTAGTAAACCACTACACTAATTTAAAAATATAAGAAAGAGATATCTGAAATGTCTATTAG